TCCTGTTTGACGAAGAGCCTTCTCCATCTGCTAATCTGGCCAGAGACTTATTCAAAATCTTGAGAAGCCACCTGCAATTTTAAGTTCCCACAATGTTCCAGAGGAAGGCTGCATCAGCCGTTCCAAAGCACTGTGGGAAATTCAAAGCGATGGGTGGTTTCCCAGTGCCTGCTGTTGCTAGGCAACCGTGCGGGGCTTGTAGGCCACATGTCGACAACAGTAAGCCATGTCAGTGTGCTGAAATGCCAAAGCTGTCTAGATCAGGGTTAGCCTTCCAATACTGTGGACTACATCTCCCATCACCCCTGAACATTGGTCATGCTGGCTGGGGCTCACCACAGTTCCCAAAGTATCTAGAGGGCGCCATGCCAACTTTCCCTGGTCCAGACCTAGATCTGAACTTTCCCCTGCCGCAGCTCAAGTTTAATCGTGTTTTTTTTTTAAAAAAAAATTTAACTCAATTAGTGCTTTTGCTATCAAGCCTCCCCAGGAGGCACCTTGATTAAGTTTAATGGGCAGTGGAATAATAATGCTTAACAATGAGTGTTCAGAAAAAGTATAGCAACAGCAACTATCTCCATAGCTTTCCTCTCAGGCTACCCTTAGGAACAGACAACCCTTGGTCATAGAGTGGGGAGACTGGTTGCCTTTCTCTCCTTTGATGCTCAGCTTACCGTATTTTCCGCTCTATAGGACGCACCCTACCATAGGACGCACCTTGTTTTAGAAGGGGAGAACAAGAAAAAAAAAATTCTCTCCCTCTCTGCCCAGCCCCTTCCATTTCTCCTCCCGCTTTGCTGAAGGGGCGCTGCGCAGAGAGAGAAAGCTGTGCAGCACCTCTCCAGCGAAGCAAAACCAGGAGAGCAAGAGGGATCGGTGTGCACCGACCCCTCTCGCTCTTCAGTTCCCGCCTCGCTCCGGAGGCTTTGGGTCCCTTTCGCTGAAACCGAGAATGTCTTGCTCTCCTGGCTTCAGCGAAAGGAACCTGAAGCCTGGAGAGCGAGAGGGGTCGAAGCTTCCTGAGCCCCCTCCTGGCTTCAGGCAGCTATCCCTGAAGCCTGGAGAGCGAGAGGGGTCGGTGCACACCGACGGGAGCTCTTCCTCTGCACTTCGGAGGCTTTGTGTTGCTATCTCTGAAGCCATGGAGCCTGCATTCGCTCCATAAGATGCACACACATTTCCCCTTAATTTCTGGATGGGAAAAAGTGCATCTTATGGAGCGAAAAATACGGTAATTCTATTGTATCTGACGTTTACAAAGATCCACTGGAAAAAGCAGTTTGTGCTCTCCCTCCCTTTCTATCTCTCTCTGGAGGAGAAAGTGGCCTTGTGTGTATGTGTGTGGCTCATTTAGGGAAGTGACCAGAAGGGGGGGCACCCAAGGCACTTGCTCAAAAATCCAAATCTGCTCATTAACTGAAAGAGGTGGGTGACCCCTCTTTCAACTGCTACTCAATATGTTAACTATGTTAAACGTTCAGAGTGAGTCATAGATAGGAGTGGGTGACTCTGTCTCTTTCAATTTCTTTTTTTCCAATCTTCAGTTCTCCACATCAGCTTGCATTAAAAAGAAAAAAATCCTCATGAAAATTCACCAACATTTAAGGGCACATTTATCCTAATATGCTCGTTTTTAAAATGCAATTTTGCATAATATACACTTTTTTTTTTTGCAAAACAATGTCCCCCTAAAACATTGAATTTTTGTGTGTTACTGCAAAATAGATAGATAATTTTTAACGGACACTTTATCCCAGGATATGAACATAAGAACATAAGGTAATGAGAAGAGCTTGTTGAATCAGGCCAATGGGCCTTCTAGACCAGCATCAGGTTCTCCCAGTGGGCAGCCAGATGCCTCTTGAGAAGTCTGCAAGCAGATTCAAGCACGAGAGCAACTCTCCCTTCCTGTGGTTTCCAGCAACTGGTATTCAGAAGCATTTCTCCTTGTGAGCATGGAGGCAGAGCATAGCCACCACGGCTAGTAGCTTTTGAATTTATCAAATCCTCTTTGGAGCCATCCAAGTTGGTGACCACCACTGACGCAATTTCTTCTACCTGTCCCAAACCTTCCAACATTCAGCTTCAGTGGATGCCCATGAGTCCTAGTATTATGAGAGACTTTTCTCTATTTCTCCATATCATGCATCATTTAGAAACTTCTATCATGTCAGCTTCTACTTGCCTGCACTCTAAATGAAGAAATCCCTTACATCTCTGCCTCTCCTCATAGAGTCACTCCACCACCTCGATCATCTGAGTTGGCCTTTTCTGAACCTGTCCCAACACTAGAATATCCTTTTTTGAAGCGAGGCCACCAGACCAGCACACCAAGTGTGGTTTGCATCATCAATACACATTTTTGTACACATCACTTGACTGGAGAACTTGGCTTTGCAAAATTCAGAGAGGCGTGAATTCTGAAGGATGGCTGCATTTCAGTTCTCCTATTGCAGATTCACCTTGAATTACAAACTGAATCAAATTCCTCCCCTGTCTCCAGCACACATCACCTAAAACAGAACGCTGTGCTTTTCATGCAACACAGCTTCCTTCTTCTAGCATCCCTTTCAAAGTACAAAGGTTCTGCTTGTAAACCTACCTATGAGAAGCTACTGCAGAGAAACTTCTACACATAGGGGGCAGAAATGCCCAGATCAGATTTCACACACAGCACAGTTTCCATTTTGCTGCAGTTCATATTCTGCTAAAAACCATGCTATTTGTCTGTCGTCCCCAGTGGCAAAATTATGTATGCAATGTACAAAATCAGTCACATGCATTCCGTAAGTTACTTTGCCATTGTATCATTTGCAGACTGAAAGCAACAACAACAATGAATACTGATTGTTTTTGCTGGATCTATTTCCAAGACAGACATGGAACAAATAAGGAAACACCAGCAATTTCCGCTCTCATTTTTGGTTTTGTTGCAACTCTCTTACTTCTGAGTCTTTTTAGTTTCTATGCCTGAGGGCAGGGTCCACCTCTCTTTGTCTCTGTCCCCGTCTCTCTTGTTAATGTGAGCCACTTTGGGCCCTGCCATTGGGTAGTTTGAGATGGCAACCTCAGGTGGCATATACTGTAGGATGGCAGCAAAATATTGAGCTGTGTACACCAAATGGCCTGGCCTGTGCCTGCTGCCTTCAGGTGTGATAAAGGATGCTATCCTGTCACCAGTGTTAAAGGCTGGTCTGTTGGTGTACAAGGAATGGGGGTGGCATCTTCTTGCCCTTTGCCTCAGGCAGCAGAATGTCACGGGCCAGCCCTGATGTAGAGCAACGATATTTGTTTGAAATGCTGTACACACACACACACACACACACACACACAAAATAAATACATTTTTGAGAGTATGCACTTTGAGAGTATGAGGCCATGTAGATTCCCTACATGGGATGTGGGTGGCGCTGTGGGTTTAACCACAGAGCCTAGGACTTGCCGATCAGAAGGTCGGCAGTTTGAATCCCCGTGACGGGGTGAGCTCCTGTTGCTTGGTCCCTGCTCCTGCCAACCTAGCAGTTCAAAAGCATGTCAAAGTGCAAGTAGATAAATAGGTACCACTCCGATGGGAAGATAAACGGCGTTTCCGTGCACTGCTCTGGTTCGCCAGAAGCAGCTTAGTCATGCTGGCCACATGACCCGGAAGCTGTACGCCAACTCCCTCGGCCAATAAAGCGAAAAGAGCGCCGCAACCCCAGAGTCGGCCACGACTGGACCTAATGGTCAGGGGTCCCTTTGCCTTTACCTAGATTACCTACACATTCACTTGAATGCTCTGATTTAGGGAAGTGGGGGTTCTCCGGATGTTGGGGTCCAAATGCAGCCGTCCAGACCTCTCTCACCTGGCCCTTGAGACTCTCCTTGGACCACACCCTTCTTCATAGACCACACCCCTCACTAGCTCTGCAACACACACACACACACACACACACACACACACACAATATCATCCCTGGTTGGATCTGTGTCTGATAATGCCTCTTGCTTACCTGGTTGGAGGACAGGAGAGGGTTTTGTGTGAGTGTAGAAACCAGCCTACTGAAATTTACATCCATTGCTCCACCTGCTTTTACAGCTGGCCCTGCCCACTACTAGCATGTGGCCCCTGGAGCGTAGCCGAGAAGGAAACATGGCCCTTGGCTGAAAAGGGTTCCCCACTCCTGCTCTAACACCTACACAGGAAGCTTGTTTGCTTGCTTTATATAAAAAAAGGGATCCTAGCAGAAAATCAGGCACATTAAATTAACACTGCGTGGCAGCTCCTCTGTCTGGCTTGGAGGTGGAGGAAAGGCAAGTCTTGGTGCCAGAAGTAGATGCATCCAGGCAGGCCTTGAGCACAAACAAACCCGGCCTTGAGCTCACAGCGATTGCTGTGCCCAAGCCAGCCCTGTTACGTCTGTGCGTTCAGAGGAAGGATGCCCCCGGGAGCCGGCTGCCCATTTTCTCCTCTGATGCTCGCAAGGCGTCTATTAGCATCCATGGGAGCAGCCACGGGGCCTGTTTGTTGAGAGTCCTCCAGCATCCCCCTTCGTCTCTCGCCACCCTTGCACCTCCGCTCCTACCTGATTCAATGCAAATGTTGCTTTTTAAAAAAACAGGTTTAATCTTGCGTGCCTCCGAGGACCAAACCGCCTGGGTGCAAGAGGCAGCAAGCCCACGGAGTGGAAGAGGCATGCTACAGAGACACCCGTGTGAAATATCATCGCTGGAGGCCACTGCCTTGGTAAATGTCTCCCCTGTATTATTCATGGGCTACAGCCTAAGCAATCTCTCGTCCTCCCCACCCCCCGCGGTCCCATCCTCTGCCCTCCCTTTCTCCCCACCCTCTGTGCAAAAAACTGCACGCTCTCCATACATCAGAGAGCCACGCCGTTAATAATGCATTGAGCTTTCAAACCGACTTTTAGTATAACATGTCTGTAATTGAGTCATAAACATTGCATAACGGATCCTCGGGGCCTTAAACCAAGGGGCAAAGCAGATAGGGGGATACTTACAGCTTCCGTGGCGGGGAGCAAGCCGTTGTTCTGGGGGGTGCAGCCAGGGAAAGGAGTGGTGGTCAGCTCTGTAGTGCCATCGGGCTTTCGAGGGCTCTTCAAGGAATGCCGGGAGTGTTTCCATCTCGTTTTGCGGCCTTCCTCCCGTGACCTGGCTCCCGGCCTGGAGGGAGAAGGAGGGTGTCTCCTACTTAGGAAGATGCCTCATAGTGTCAGGATGAAGAAGAATTGTGGGAGGTGATAGCCAGGGAACCCCAGAGGGAACCCCCAGAGGAGGAAGGTTCAGAGCCAGGGGAATGGTGGCGGGACACTGAGGAGAGGTCAGAGGGAGAAGATTGGGAGGAGGCGCCGGATGCCGAAGGGGCAACAGGGTTTAGTGAGCAGGAGGAGCCTGTGACAGGGAGCAGTTCAGACTCTGAGGCTGAAGCAGAGGGGGGGTGTCAAGAGACTGCCGAAGAGTCCAAGAAGTCTCCCTTTCCTGCTGCGACAAGCTCCCCTCCCGCTGGTCTCCCAGAACATGCAAAATAATGAGGAGAGCAGAACAGAGGCTAGAGGTGAGCAGACACAGTTTGAGACTGTTTGGGAAGCATCTGGGAGAGAAGGAGCTTTTGAAGGGGTGGAAGCCAGGTGAAATATACTCGGAGTCGAGAGTGGATTTTATGCTCTTTATTCAGCTCATAGTGGTGAGGAGGAATGGACGTTCCCCCAGAATGTCTGCTTTATATACATTATTTACACTATGGGCCCCACGTGATTGGCTAATTTCGGGATTCTCCTGTAGGCCAATCAGGTTGTGGATTCCCTTCCACCTGGAGCTGGATTGGTTGGCTCCTGTGGACCAATCAGACTGCTGCATTCTGAATCCTATTGTTCTAGGACCAATCAGACTGCTGCATTTTGGATCCTGTTCAACATAACAGCAGGGACCTTCAGTCCTGGCAACTGCTCCATAGGGACAAGACCTACTGGGAAGTGTTGCTGAATTGTATAGGACCCTGACCATTAGGTCCAGTCGTGGCCGACTCTGGGGTTGCGGCGCTCATCTCACTTTATTGGCCGATAGCTTCCGGGTCAGGACTAAGCTGCTTCTGGCAAACCAGAGCAGCGCACGGAAACACCATTTACCTTCCCGCCGGAGCAGTACCTATTTATCTACTTGCACTTTGACGTGCTTTTGAACTGCTAGGTTGGTAGGAGCAGGGACTGGGCAATGGGAGCTCACCCTGTCACGGGGATTTGAACTGGCAACCTTCTGATCGGCAAGTCTTAGGCTCTGTGGTTTAACCCACAGCGCCACCTGCGTCCCACTGAATTGTATACCGTCTCCTTGAATAAAGAGGATTTCATATAGGGTTCTCTTCCAACCTTACATAGAGGTGCCACCGGCCCTTTCCTTAAGACAGTGGTTTTCAACCAGTGTGCCGTGGCACCCTGGGGTGCCAGGAATGATGGTTGGGGTGCTGTAGGCAGCACTGACCTCTGTCCCTCTTTCCTTCCCTCCCTCCTCTGATGCCCTGTCTTTGCCTCCCAAAGGCTAGCACAGCTGTTTGTTGCAGCAGCCCTAGCTACAAGCTCCTCAGGTGAATGGTGCCTCTGGGGCTGGCCAGGGGGTGCTTCCCAGGCCACTGTGGGGCAGTGTGAGGAGGCACCTTTCTTTGGGGTGGGGGGGGCAGGTCAAAGACCCGGGGTGGCAGCCATGGCTGCCCAGAGGACTCCCAAGGAGAGGGGAGAGGAGGTTGAGGGAACACTCCACAAGGGAGGGTGTTTGAAAAAGGGTGAGAGGCTGCCAGCTCTGCAGGCAAGGGGTGACGCAACTGGGCTCCTGAGCCCCACAGGGATGTCGAAGGAAGAATGTGGTTGGTCCAGGGAGTCGTGGACCCAGAAAGGTTGAAAACCTCCTATGCCTTAAGACATAGGTAGACAGGAAGCTGCCTTGCACTGAGTTAGACTGCTGGTCCATCTAGCTCAGTATTGTCAGCACTGACTGGCAGCAGCTCTCCAGGGTTTCAGACAATAAATAAATAAATTCCCAGGTAAGATTCTTACCTGCTTCCACAGCTCTCTGTGAGGGAATTGGTGCTCTCTGAGCCAGAGCGGCAGCGGCGATGGCGGCGGCGTTGGGATTTCTGTGACTGACTGCGAGAGCTTTTGAAAAAGAAGACAGAAAAGCAGAACACCTTAACATTCACCTGCAGGTGGGAAGCCATCTTTGAAAGGTCCATGGAGCGTTGGGAGATGTAGCCAGAAAATACAGCTGGCAAATGCCAGCTCATCAGTTATAGGGCTAAATGAAAACAGCTTCCCTAAAGCCTCTGCAATGGCCTTCCCTAACCTGGTTGTCAGACTACAACTCACCTCGTCCTTGACCACTGACCCTGCTGCCTCGTCCTTGACCACTGACCCTGCTGTTATAATCCAGCAACATCTGGATGGCATCTGTTTACGGAAGGCTGTGACATGGAATTCCTGTCAAATTGGTTTATCAGTGAACCTAGTGTCACGTACGCAAGAATCCGACCTGACTGCAAACTTGTCAGAACCAGCTAAGGAGGAACCTAATGGCAGAACGCTGCAGTAAATTGGAAAACAACTCCATATAAGGTACAAGGAGGGTTCTAATATGTACAGTAAAAAAAAAAAAAAGGGTTGAGTAAGTGTTTTCAAGGACTGTGGTTGTATGCAAGATGGTGTGGTGCTGGGGTGGGGTGGCAAAAAGATGTATATTTGGCCATATAGTATGTGTCCTATATGGGGACGCGGGTGGCGCTGTGGGTAAAAGCCTCAGCACCTAGGGCTTGCCAATCGAAAGGTCGGCAGTTCGAATCCCTGCGGCGGGGTGCGCTCCCGTTGTTCGGTCCCAGCGCCTGCCAACCTAGCAGTTCGAAAGCACCCCCGGGTGCAAGTAGATAAATAGGGACCGCTTACCAGCGGGAAGGTAAACGGCGTTTCCGTGTGCGGCTCTGGCTCGCCAGAGCAGCTTCGTCACACTGGCCAGGTGACCCGGAAGTGTCTCCGGACAGCGCTGGCCCCCGGCCTCTTGAGTGAGATGGGCACACAACCCTAGAGTCTGGCAAGACTGGCCCGTACGGGCAGGGGTACCTTTACCTTTTATGTGTCCTAAGGGAAATGCTCTGGCAGACTCTTAGAACTCCTGTACTGAACAATGCTTGACCAATTGAGAATTTGGTGTGTGAGCCTCCATACTTGACCCCTGCAAGGGGAATTTCTGCCACAGCTGCTCCACAATATTTATAGGTAGCAAAATTGTGGGAATCAAGGGATTTGATTGAAAACACCTCTGGGAAGTGGTTTATATATCCATATAGATATCTCTATATCTCTGTCTCTATCATCTATCTATCTATCTATCTATCTATCTATCATCTATCATCTATCATCTATCTCTATCTATCTATCTATCTATCTATCTATCTATCTATCTATCATCTCTATCTATCTATCATCTATCTATCTATCTATCTATCTATCTATCTATCGATCTAATCTATCTATCATCTATCTATCTATCATCTATCTATCTATCTATCTATCTATCTATCTATCTATCTATCTATCATCTATCTATCAATCATCTATCTATATCTATCTATCTATCTATCTATCTATCTATCTATCTATCTATCTATCATCATCTCATCTATCTATCTATCATCTATATCTATCTATCATCTATCTATCTATCTATCTATCTATCTATCTATCTATCATCTATCTATCTATCTATCTATCTATCATCTATCTATCTATCTATCTATCTATCTATCTATCTATCATCTATCTATCTATCTATCTATCTATCTATCTATCTATCTATGATCTATCTCTATCTATCTATCTATATCTATCTATCTATCTATCTATCATCTATCTATCATCTATCTATATCTATCATCTATCTATCTATCTATCTATCTATCTATCTATCTATCTATCTATCTCTATCTATCTATCTATCTCTATCTATCTATCTATCTATCTATCTATCTATCTATCTATCTATCTATCATCTATCTATCTATCATCTATCATCTATCATCTATCTATCTATCTATCTATCTATCTATCTATCTATCTATCTATCTATCTATCATCTATCCTCTATATCTATCTATCATCTATCTATCTATCTATCTATCTATCTATCTATCTATCTATCATCTATCATCATCTATACCCATTTTCCCCCCTGAAAAAAATCTTTTCCGAAAGATTTTGTAGAATCATAGAACTGTAGAATTGTATTGGGTCCAACCTGTCAGGTTTGAGGTCTCTCCCCCACACACATGAGACAACTCTGGTAGTTGATTATTTCAGATTTATTGCCCATTACAAAGCCCCGGTCGGAGCTCAGCTAATTCAGTCATCCTCTGACAAAAGCATTGCCAGAACTGAGTTCTTCCCCCTTCTCCCCCAACAGGAAAACCCCCACTTTCTCTTCCTGTTAATTTCGTGCTTCTCGGCTAATCTCGTGATTCTACGAGATTTGGGAGATGGCACTCCCAGTATTCCCGTGTCTATGTCACTATCTGAGCTTAGCTTCTACGTTCCTTCTCCTTGTGTCTCTGTGTATAGAAAGTTCATATTCCTGCGGATAACTGCTTCTTCCCCTTCCCTGGGGAATTCCTCAATTCTTCCCCCTTGTCTTTCTGTGTCTGCTGTCAGAGAGAGACTTGCTCTGACACAACCCCTGCAATTGCAACAAAAGAATTCCACTGCTGAACAGCTCTTACCACCAGAAAATTCTTCTTAATGTTTCATTGGAATTGCCTTTCTTGTCATTTGAAACCTATGGCTTGGGTGCTACCCACCAGAGCAGCAGAAAACAAGCTTGCTCCATCTCCCATGTGACAGCCCTCCAGATATTTGAAGATGGCTCTCATGTCTCCTCTGTTTTTCATCTCACTTAATGTTGAATGAGACCCTGCTGTTAGTTTGTATTGATGAGCAAGGAATGGGTTGAAAGAGGAATGTTGAACAGAAGAAGCCTATCGATTCCTTCAATATTCAAATACAGTAATGTCAAACAATATGACAGCTGGATCCACAGTTGTACCCAAAGTTCACAGAAACAGAGTTGGCCACTTTGCCCCATATTCTCTAGGGGAAGACTGAATTTCCCCAGTGCTTTAGAGGTCATCTGTCAAGTAAGCGGTATATAAGTTTTGTGAACCAAATAAAATCATTTTTCAGCCTGCTTTTCCTCCTGAAGGAGCCCAGCGCAGTCACACAGCTATAGGAGCCAACTCCAGGGGGCTGTGGGTGTACCATATTGGCCCGAATATAAGCCGCACCCGAATATAAGCCACACCTTTAAAATTGGAGTGGTGAAAGGAGAAAAAACCTGAATATAAGCCGCTCCCTTCCTCGCTGCTCCTGGCTGCATACTGGACCGGGGGGGGGGGAGAGCCACACTGCGTTGCTGGCAGCCTTTCCCCTTCCTCACTCTTTCCCTTCCCAGCCTTGGGGGAGAGTACAGGGGAACTACGCACGGGGCACGAGCTGCTTTGCCGAGCTCCTGGCACTGTTTGCCCCACGCTCCTGGTTGCATACCGTAAGGTCACAAATATAAGCTGCATTTTAACTTTTCACGGTCAGAATTCGGGGGAAAGTGCGGCTTATATTCAGGCCAATACAGTAATATACCGTATTTTTTGCTCCATAAGGTGCACCTGACCATAAGGCGCACCTAGTTTTTAGAGGGGGGATTCAAGAAAAAAAAATATATTTAAAGGGAGCGCTGAGCAGAGCCTGTATGCATCCCAGGCTCTGCTCAGCGCTCCCTTTCATGAGCCGCGTGGAGTGTGTGTGTGGCTCTTGGGGGCTTTTCCCCGAAGAGGGAGAAGGGCAGCCCATCACTGACAGCCCATCACTGAGCTTGTGTGCGGCTCTTGGGGGCTTTTCCCATCTGCCTCCCCTCTGCATTCGCTCCATAAGATGCACACACATTTCCCCTTACTTTTTAGGAGGGAAAAAGTGTGTCTTATGGAGTGAAAAATACGGTAATTGTGGGGGCCACCAGGCCTCCTTTTTTTTTTTTTTAGCCTAAGAGGTTACTTGAGCCAACGACACCCACCCACCAATGTACGCACCAATTTGCATGCATGCGCAAATCAACCACGAACGCTGGTGCATTCATAGCGACTGCCTCCACTTACTGTTTCTTGTGTTTTCTTTCTTCCTTCCTTTTGCCTTTGGGGCTTGGGGAACTAAATAAGAGGGTGGGGGGAAAAAAGTATAAGCTAATGAACGGGTAACTGACCATTCGATTTAGAGAGCTGGTAAAAGTTCAACAGGGGCATGTAAACCTGTAGGAGCGCCACCGTGCTTGTTTATTTATTTATTTATATTTCACACAATATATATACCATTCATGGTAAACATCCCCCCCCCAAAAAAAACACCCTACCCTCAGAGCAGTAAAACCATAAATTCAGCAGTAAGAACAATTTGAAACAGGGGTCAGCAAACTTTTTAAGCAGGGGGCCGGTCCACCGTCCCTCAAACCTTGTGGGGGGCCGGACTATATTTTGAAATAAATAAATAAATGAACAAATTCCTATGCCCCACAAAAAACCCCAAAATGCATTTTAAATAAAAGCACACATTCTACTCATGTAAAAACACGCTGATTCCCGGACCATCCGTGGGCCGGACTTAGAAAGCAATTGGGCCGGATCCAGCCCCCGGGCCTTAGTTTGCCTAACCATGATTTGGAACATTTAAAAAACCCTGAAACAAGTGATGAACTAAAAAAGGCATTAAAACTCTGGGGAAACAGTGTTTCAGGTGGGCTTATCTAAACAAAAACGTTTTTAGCCCAATGTCAATGCTCTGGGAGTTCCAAAGTGCGGGTTCTGCCACATTAAAGATGAATTTCTTACAAAAGCTAACATGCCTTGGCATCAGATCATTACCCAAAATGGTCCTTTGGCAGGAGCAGTGGAAGAATGCTGAAACTAGGATCAGCAACTAGGGGCCTTCCCCATTAGATCTGGTTGGACCAAAATGGCTAACTTCCACTGACCACAGGTGAGCTGGTACAGCCTGTGATTCTAGAATTATTCCAGACAGTTTAGGCAAGTTCCCCCCCCCAAAGCCCTCACTATCCTTACCTGTGTCTCCTCTTCTTTGAAGAAAACCTGGAACATAAAATGCAAAATATTAATATTAAAATAAAAATGATTAAACCAGGCAAGAGCATCACTGGACAGAATCAGCAAAGATTTTGTGGGAAAACCAGCCTCAGGTAACCAATATGCTTAGGCCTAATTAATTCTTGAAAGGGTTAATAGCATAGAGTAAGCTGTCCTGCCCGGCTTAGCTGAGGTCACTTCCCCTCACCCTGGGAGGAAGAAGGTTACCAAGCCTTACCAGTTGACTTAAGAAGCTGAACTTGTGAAGAAGTTTGAGCTGGTTGCTCCAGTTCAGCTGCATGGCTCTCCTCAGCCACTCTTGTGTTCCTATACTAATAATTTAGGAACTTTTACCACTTTGTAACTAAGCTAAGTTTTGCTGCCTGTGCAGATGTATGGAATAGCACATGAACAAGACCTTTGAAGAGTTTGTAAGTAAACCAATTTTTAACTTACCAAATATGTGGCTTTTTCTTACGCTGGGGGAAGTGGGAAACTTTGGAAGGAACTTGATCTCATGGTTGGCACATTCCTCCTAAATATGATTTTATCTCTATGTATGAATACTTAATAGTGTTACAAAAGTTGGGTGCCGCCCCCTTTCTCTGCTGAGCAGTGGCAAGAGGCCATGAGGTTCCAGGAACTCACCCAGGATCTGTGTTCCTTTGGAGAATTGAGACACAGCAGAGACTGTCATAGCTTTAAGAAATAAGGTTTATTCCCCAATTTGCACCTTTGGACTGCATGGAGGGAGTCCTGATCTTATAGCATGGTTATTTCAAGAGGGGTTTGTACCCCACAGCAGTGTAGCCCTGGAATCCAAGGCCTCTCTCCCAGCCAGCAAGCAGCTAGCCTGCCCAAGATGGATCCCATTCCTTCTTCTCCTTTCTTCTCCCCCGCAGAACACCTTGCTAAGAAACTCTCTTTTTCTGTCACCTCACACCCAGTTATCCTGGCAACCTTCCAAATACCCAGTCTCTGTTCACACCTCAGGGCAAAGAGGGACTTCCCTCACATTGCCAATGGCCCTCAAGGGCCCTGTATTGTTTCTTGATGGCCCTAGCTTGGCCAGGTCATTTTGCATAGGCTAGACCATTCCTTTGCAGCTTGCATTTCTCCCTTCACATCCCAAATCATCAAAATCTTACCATTTATTAATATCTAAGGTTTAGGAAATGGGACGTGGGTGGCGCTGTGGGTTAAACCACAGAGCCTAGGACTTGCCGATCAGAAGGTCGGCGGTTCGAATCCCCGCGACGGGGTGAGCTCCTGTTCCTCGGTCCCTGCTCCTGCCAACCTAGCAGTTTGAAAGCACGTCAAAGTGCAAGTAGATAAATAGGTACCGCTCTGGCGGGAAGGTAAACGGTGTTTCTGTGCGCTGCTCTGGTTCGCCAGAAGCGGCTTAGTCATGCTGGCCACATGATCCAGAAGCTGTACGCCGGCTCCCTCAGCCAATAAAGCGAGATGAGTGCCACAACCCCAGAGTCGGTCATGACTGGACCTAATGGTCAGGGGTCCCTTTACCTTTAAGGTTTAGGAAAGAGGGTCCCCCCAAACCTATAACAATTTATTTTGTATCCATTTGAAACTTGCATCCCAACGTGGAATATATTTTATGCTATTCATTAGTTTTTAAGTTCTTTTAAAAATTTATTTTTTACTCCTTTTGAGCTTATGACTTTTCCATGGTGTATTTTAGCTTGATGTTTTGTTTGCTATATTTACAAATCATACTAATTTAGAAAAAGAAAAAATGAACCAAGCAAGGCAGGTCATAATTTATCTTGGCTCCATGGCCGTTCCTGGCGACTTATAAAAGTTTGCCAAACCTAGGGACAACAGAGAAATTCAGTTGGATCCCCATTTTAAGGCTAAGGCAGAGGAAGCTGCCAGGCAGCTCCATCACCCTCTGGACAACAGAGAAAGCAAGAAGGCAGGCATGCGCAGGGGTGTCTGGCTGAGGAGAAGAAGAGTTTGAAGAAGAGTTTGGATTTGATATCCCGCTTTATCACTACCCGAAGGAGTCTCAAAGCGGCTAACAATCTCCTTTCCCTTCCTCCCCCACAACAAACACTCTGTGAGGTGAGTGGGGCTGAGAGACTTCAGAAAAGTGTGACTAGCCCAAGGTCACCCAGCAGCTGCATGTGGAGGAGCTGGGAAGCGAACCCGGTTCCCCAGATTACAAGTCTATCACTCTTAACCACTACACCACACTGGCTCTGAGGTTGGTGGGATGGTCCTGTGGGATGCAATCTACTGAAAGCTGTCAAGTACAACATTCCTTGTTTTCCTAGAGTGGACATGCAAGGGAATGTTTGGTCCTGCCAGTCGAAACCTCCTGTTCCTCCTGGCCTGGAGCATCTTTCCTTGCATGTGACTAGTGGGTGGGTGTGACCTTTCCAGAGGCCACTCTCTCCTTTTTTCATCTTCCTTTCTTCCTGCGAACTTCCCGGACTGCTAACTGCGGTCACTAGGTCAACCCACATATGGGGTAAACCTGTTTGTATATGCTTGCAACTTTAAGCCTTAAGCTTACCTTCAGGAATCACACTGTGCTCTGCCTGATCGTGAGCAAACTTTCTTTTTATTGCTTATGAATAAGACTGTGGTGTCTTTATTCTTTTAGGCGGGATTCAAGGGGCCTTACCAGGAAAATATTAGAACACATTTCAATCTGGAGAAGCCAGAATGAATTCCGTATTGTCTTAAGAAACTCACACGAGTTTGCAACTAGTTTTCTGCTGTGTAAAGGGGAATGCACTTTTTAAAGTACAGTGGTACCTCGGGTTACAGACACTTCAGCTTACAGACGCTTCAGGTTACAGACTCCGCTAACCCAGAAATAGTACCTCGGGTTAAGAACTTTGCTTCAGGATGAGAACAGAAATCGTGCAGCGGCAGCGGGAGGCCCCATTAGCTAAAGTGGTACCTCAGGTTAAGAACAGTTTAAGGTTAAGAACAGACCTCCGGAATGAATTAAGTTCTTAACCCGAGGTACCACTGTAAAGGAACTTGCTAGCGGAAGTTAGGAAGGATATTAATAAGCAATATATCCTCTCCTGCCACCCTGAACATTCCCACAGGTCCACCCTAACTGCCTAGCCTCCCCTGCCTTTCCCTCCTGGCCACAGTGGGGATTGGGGCCAGGGGTGGGAGGCAAGTGAGCAGGCAATGGTGAGCAGAAGGACCAATAACATCTCTGCCCAAATCTGGAACCACCAGTACAGTGGAATCCTCTTGAGCACGAGGAAATTTGGCAGGCATTCAGGGGTGGGAGCACAGCAGAAGAAAGACTTGCCTGTTTCTTTTCCTTTTCTTTGAGCTCTTCTTCTTCTTCTTCTTCTTCAGTGGGGAGGGGCTGCAGGACGGAGACCTAGGGAGAAGTCACAGAATCACAGAACTGCAGGGTTGGAAGGGACACCTGAGGGTCATCTAGTCCAACCCCCTGCAACACAGGAATCTTTTGCCCCAACGTGGGGCTCAAACCCACAACCCTGAGGTTTAGAGTCTCACGCTCTGTTGACTGAGCTAAGGCAGGGCCACTGGCGGAGGAAGAGGAGTGCAGGGGGAGCGCACTGCCCCAGGCAGCGCAATCCCGGTGGGGTGCTTCTCTTCTTGGGGAGGGGGGAGGGAAAAATGGGGGGGATGAGGAAGTGGGAGAGAGGGAGGGGGTGGAGACCAAATTGGGGCAACGCTATTATTCCAAGATCCTGCATTCCCAAGCCTCTCTCTGTAAATACTGAATAAAAAACAGTTGGTAAGGACTTTTCATTGCCTTATCCATTCTTGGCAACTTGCCGTGGGGGTTGGTTCCTCGGCTACCTGACACTGGTGCAGAAATAAGCCAGTGATCGATTTCCACTCACCTCCTTCTCTTCTTCCGCGTAGATTTCTTCTTTTTCTTCTTCCCCTTGGTAGGAGGTGGTGTGAATTCCTCAGTACAGGATGGGCTTTGGATAGAGGAAGGGAAAGAGAGAGAGAAGGTATTAAGTTTGCATGATGACTACTAGCCAAGATGGCTGTGTTCTGCCCCCACTGTCAGAGGCAGTAGTACAATGGGCCTCTGAAAACCGGTTGCTGGGAATCTCAAGTGTTGTTGCATTCGTGTCCAGACTGCAGGCTTCCCACAGGTATCTGGTCGGCCACTGTGAGATCAGGATGATGGACTAGGCAAGCCACTAGCCTGATCCGACAGGCTCGTCTTATGTTCTCATGTTCTCATGTGTCAATCACAGCCATCTGTCAACATCTTGACAGTTCTGATCCCCAAAGTACGGTTTCCTGTGAAGGATGGGGTCTTGCGGGAGATCCATAACATAGGGTGAATGTTTAATTGCCATGTTCCGGGTAATTTAGTCATGCTTGAAATTAACTGTCTCCTCCAGGGATTTATTGCAGATCTAATGAGAGAGTTACTGTATGTTAACTGGCTTGGCACCGAGTTATTTAAGACATATTTATCGAGGTTAACAACTCTATAATAGATTTATACATTTGGCTCCTCTCAGTAAATATGTTTTAAAATAAATTAATCAGACTTTAATTTGCATAGGATAATGGTTGCAAAGTACGGGCATCCGCCTAATTTATTTTTAAAAGAGACTTGGCAATGTTTATTAAATAGCAATCAATTACATAAACAGGAGATTTAGGCTGCAATCCCAAGGCTGGGAAATGGTGGTGTGGAGCTGATGAAGGTTTGGTCACCTTATCCAAGGCTCTGCCAGGCTCTTGCCAGAAGGGCAGAAGTGAGAGTGGAGAAGGCCTCTTACATCCCTCCATCCTTTCCCCGTGCATAGAGGTTTTTGCAGAGGTGCCCCATGCTATTGGTTGTCTTCCCCCAACTGCAGGCTAGTCATTGCATTCTACACCAGCTGGAACCACGAGATTGTGGGCAAGGGCAGCCCCACATTGCAGTAGTCCAGGGGCCATCGGATTGTATGCCCAATTGCAAGAGTCCCTTGAAAAAACCACAGGGGGTTGTTCCAGCTATAACAGAGGCTCATTTATGTACTAGATTTAGATATTTTTTTTTAATCTTGCCCTGTCTGAAAGGCTCAGAACAGCCTACAACCAAGAAGCAAAATGCCATTGTCCTCTGTGTGAGGAAGGACCCCAGGCAAGGCCTCAAGGCAGGTGATGAGTCAACTTTGCCGTATCCAAGCAGCTCTGGGACTAGCTAGCGCTGATAAGTGCCTACGCGCCTTTCTGAATTCATTGGAAGGTAGGGTATAAACTGAATATATACATATGTACATATAGGAAAGAGCACCTGAAGTCACGATCCCATACACACTTACTTGAGAATAAGCCCAACTGAGCACTGTGAGAGAATTATTTCTGAGTAGTAATTTTAGTTAGCTCTATGTTGCAAACCACCTTGAGCTTGAGGAAAGGTAGTGTGTGATATACAGTGGTACCTCGGGTTATATACGCTTCAGGTTACATACGCTTCAGGTTACAGACTCCGCTAACCCAGAAATAGTACCTCGGGTTAAGAACTTTGCTTCAGGATGAGAACAGAAATCGTGCTCTGGCAGCGCGGCAGCAGCAGGAGGCTCCATTGGCTAAAGTGGTGCTTCAGGTTAAGAACAGTTTCAGGTTAAGAACGGACCTCCAGAACGAATTAAGTACTTAACCCGAGGTACCACTGTGCATATATACACAAGAAATCACTCAAGATATCCCTCAAGTAATTAAGGAACAAAAGAAGAAAAGGCACACTAGCCTAGGAACTTCCTCTCTGCCCAGAACATTGGAGGCTATACACCACACCCCCTCAACAGTATTTATAGGAACTCAAACACTGAGATCCTGCTCTGTTCCAGTAACAAGAAGCCGAAAGCACCAGCCTGAAGATGACGAGTGAGACCTCGTCGAAACGTCGCCTAGACACCCCAACTTTTACACGGGAAGACACCCGAGGACACCAAAACCTGCATTCCTGTACCCGTGAAAATCTACGAAAGCATATATATATATATATATATATATATATATATATATATATATGGAGAGGGAGAGAAGTTAGATAGGTAGACTGGTAACCTGAAGCGTCTGTAACCCAAGGTACCACTGTATATATAGAGAGAGATAGATTCAGTTAAGCGGCACCCCAAAATATTTCAGGGTTCAGAGCCAGCAATGAAGGATGAGTCACCGCGAGCCACTCAGCATGAAAGAGCCAAGATATTGACACGATGCAAGCAAAGGCAGCCAGCCTTTATGTTCTTGATCAAGAACATACAGTCCCTCTCATGCTGTCCATTGCCTTTTAAAAGCATCCACTTCACTATTTCCCTCTTGGTGAGGGTTTCAAAGATCCCAATGAAGATTTTTTAAAAAAATAAGTGGTGTGATGTGCTATTAAAAAAGAAAAAGAAAATCTGCATCAAGGACTATCTTTACAAAGAACTCAGTCACCTTATTTCAGATCAAGCTGCCTTTTAAGAGGCTCGTGTTATCAGCAGATGAGCATTTGCTCTTGGAAAGCCTGAACGCAATTCCAGGAATGCCTCCTTTGTCTAGCCCTACCTAGTTCCTTCGGTCCTTGTGAAATATGCTCTTAGAAATGCTGGATGCTCCCAAGGTTCATCTTATGCCCACAAAGGCAGCACATGTGTTTTAAGCCTGGATAGCTCAGTTGGTTAGAGCATGGTGCTGATAACACCAAGGCTGCAGGTTGGAACCCCGTATGGGTCAGCTACATATTCCTGCATTGCAGGGAGTTGGACTAGTCAATCCTCATGGTCCCTTCCAACTCTATAATTCTGTGATTCTATGTCCTCTACGAACTCAGCAGCAGACCAGCTACCGCAACTTGACCGAGCTGGTGATTTATATGTGCTTTGACTAGGACAGGAAACACAGGTTGTGTTGATTCTCCTGTACAGCACAGGGGGCTATTTTTAAAAGAGGGGACGCGGGTGTCTCTGGGGTCTAAACCACTGAGCCTCTTAGGCTTGCCTAAGGTTGGCGGAGTGAGCTCCCGTTGCTCTGTCCCAGCTCCTGCCAACCTAGCAGTTCTAAAGCAGACCAGCGCAAGCAGCATTTTCATGCGCATCACAGTGTCCCGTTGTGCCAGAAGCAGTTTAGTCATGCTGACCACATGGCCCAGAAAGCTGTCTGTGAACAAACGCCAGCTCCCTTGGCCTGAAAGCAGATGAGCGCCGGAACCCCATAGTCGCCTTTGACTGGACTTAACCGTCCAGGGGTCCTTTACCTTTACCTTTTGCTATTTTAAAGCTATGGAGTCAAAGTCAGCTGGGGCCTGACATGGCTCAAATGCAACCTTCTCCAGTGTTTTAATTCCGAAAGATAACAATGGGTTCAAGTTTGTGCCTTTTGTGTGGTTTATTTCTATGGCTCGTGGCATCTGTGTGACTGGCGTAAGCTTAAAATGAAATATATCCCCTCACGAACTATCTGTGACCATGGAACAGCCTCCCATCTAACAACATGACCTGGAATGAATAAGTAACACCCTGAATAGCTCAGCCGGTAGAGCATGAGACTCTTAAGCTCAGGGTCGTGGGTTTGATCCCCACATTGGGCAAAAGATTCCTGCATTGCAGGGGGTTGGACGAGGTGACCCTCGTGGTCCCTTCAAATTCTACAATTTTATGATTGCGTGGTGAGTTCCCGCCCCCCACCAGGATAAATAAAGACATGAGACACCATAGTTTAAGGTTAAATGGGCGAATTAGGCCACAACTTTATTGAATTCAGGAATGAGAGGCATTGGCTTAGGCATTGGTCCTAACGACTATCCGGCTCCAGCCCACTTGCTGGAGACACGGGGAAGGGTTAACACTATATCGGGGGAGTCTCCCGCCGAGGCACGTCGACTAGGAGCTCCCCCGGGTCACCGCTCTGGGGCGTGCCTTTGGCCCTCACCTCCATGGGCTTCGGACAGGGCCACGCCCCCCGGAGTCTTTTAACGGACCACCCTTCTCTCACTGGGGGGAGGTGATGGCGTTCCTCCCCCCCCACATCCTCTTAACCCCTTCTTACCAATGCCTACCGCCAATGCCGAAGAGTTGTGACGAGTTGCTACGAGGTAGGCGAAAAACCAAATGGCTGAAATTGCCAATTGGGGAAAAATTCCTACCATGCCCCTTGCAGCGACAGACTGAAGTCCATAGCAAAGTCAGAGACCTACCTAAAGCCTACCTAAAGGGAGGGAGGGTGGGAAAACGTGAGGGCTAGCCGGCGAAAAGAGGGCGAGCCCCCTCTGCGTCGGCCCTAAATAGGGCAGGTCACAGCCGGGATTCCCCTGCTCTTGCGGGGGCTGAAACCAGCCCCCGCTCACGTGGGGGGTGGGCGTGAAGCCCGCAACCCCACCTCCTGGGCAGGCCGGAAGTGGCTTTCTATGGCATCCACAGAAAAGAGCAGCATTCTAATCTTTGCGTTTACCAGCAAAACTTAATTGTCACTCTCCAGGAACCAGGCTTGGCACAGACAATGAACTCTCTCTCAGTGTATGTTGTTATTCAAGAACGTGCTGTCTTTCCATAATTAGAGTTGTGTCTCCTCCATCTAAGCTAACTTACAGAGGAAGGCGATCTCACAGGTAAACTGGTTCCAAATTGTTAAGGGCTTTATATGCTCACTTCATGCCCACCTCTCATCTTTATTTGGTGAGGGTTTGGGCGTTTCGTCTCGTCTTGGAGGCCTCCTAAAGCTGATGCGGATTTAATTGCACCTCACTGATTGCAATCTAAGTCTAATTAAGAAAAGCAACTACAATGCACTCCAGGCCGATGCAGCGCTAAGCTCGAAATCTGGGCATCTGTAGCAGCCCCACCTCCCACCTTCCTGCTGCAGTTGGAAGCAAAACAGTTACGTGCTTCAATTCCGGGGACAGTTTGGCAAATAGGGCCCTTTTAAACAACAATCCGCTTCGCCACAGGCTTCATTTCCCCCCACCTTCAAAGTGACAAAGAGCAAAGGTTGGTCCATAGCAGAAAGAAGCCACAAAGGATAGGGGCAGAGGGAGAGGCGCTCACTCTCTTTTTCATCCTCCTTTATCCATTAGAAAGACTTTAGTCTTCAGACAGCGGAAGCAGGAGCAGAGGTGGGAGTGGTCTCCACGACGGTCCCCAGAGACAGGGTGGAAGGCAGGGAGTCCAACAGTAGGTGGCGCCAGAGCCAATGACAGCCACAGCCAACTAATTCTACTGTTGTCCCCATCCTCCTCCCTGCTGAGTTCTACAAGGGCAACGCTGAGACTAAGGCCACATTGACACCATGCATTTATTATGGGCGGCCCTTTTATTGGGAAGTTTTTAATGTTTGATGTTTTATTATGTTTTATATGTGCTGTAAGCCACCCAGAGTTGTTGAGGAAACCCAGCCAGATGGGCGGGTTATAAATTATAAAAATTATTATTATTATTAGCACTTTGATTCTACTTTAAATAGTCACAGCTTCCCTCAAAGAATTCTGGAAGCTGCATGCTCTATGGCAGTGTTTCCCAACCTTGGGCCTCCAGCTGTTTTTGAACTACAATTCCCATCATCCCTGACCACTGGCCTTGCTAGCTAGGGATGATGGGAGTTGTAGTCCCAAAACAGCTGGAGGCCCAAGGCTGGGAAACACTGCTCTATGGGCCTCTCTTTAGGGTGGTTTGCCTTGAAGCAGTACGGTGATTTAGGCTCTATTTTTACTCTCTTCAAACTCCCCGACGTGTTTGCACTCAGGTGCTGAAAACATGAGCTCCAAGCCTACGCAGTGCCTTAAATGCATGGCAAGGACTACTTCTTAATTGCCACCCGGGCTTATTATATCCGAAAGAGAGACAGGCAGTCTTGGAATGCAGAATCTTAAAATAAAAATAAAAAACCTAGGCTGCTCTGAAAGACTGCGGCAAAGACTGCACCGCGGGGAAGCTGAAGCATTCAGCTTTCTCTTGACTTGGATGTAAAGCCCTTTGCGAGGAAGTCGGCAACTGAGCCATCTCGCCAGCCTCTTGGAAAACACGTGGGTGCAAATGGGTCCCCTTTAGGCAGAACTCTCATTACTTCGCCATGTTTTATTGAAGAAGCGGCAGAAAGCATTTCAGAGAAAGCAGGAAAACAAAGGATGACTTAAGGAGGCATGTTCCTTTGCTGCTAGCCCTGGGTCTAATTACCAAGCAAGGCTAAACTAAAATAAAAAGAAATGCAAATACTATTCTAAAAGCCTTTTGCACCAGCCATTTCAAAGGGTCTGAGATGGGCACTGACCTCAGGGCAGCTAGTTCCTACGGGTCCTTGAATAACCTGTCTGCTATACGGAAAGGTTAAACAGAAGGTAGGCTGAGATCTGCTGGTAGATTCCTGCGTGGTTTTCAGCAAATCACGGGGAACATTTGACAGCCTGAGATCACATACCTTTCTGAGCAACCTGCCAGGGGAGCCACATGCCAGAGTTGGGCAGGGGAAGAGGCCAAAGATGCAACCCTAGAACTCATAGACAGCCAATGAAGTGGAATGTTGGGAGGTTCCAGGACAGATAAAAAGAAGGACTTATTCACACAGCGCATCGTTAACCTATGGAACTCACCCCTGCAGGAAGGAGCAATGGCCACCAACTTGTATGGCTTTAAAAACGGATGAGACAGATTCATGGAGGATATGGCTATCAATGGCTTTGAGGCTTGATGGAGGCTATGCTCTGCTTCCACAGTCGGAGGCAGCAATGCTTTTGAATACCAGTTGCTGGAAGCCACAGGAGGGGGAGAGATGTTCTTGTGCACTGGGGGTGAAATCCCCAAAAAGGATGTTACTTTTTTTCTGTATGCCATAACAGCTGCGAGAATATTGCTAGTGAAGAATTGGAAGAAACAAGATTTACTATCAAAGAATGGCAGATGAAGATGATGGACTATATGGAACTTGCCGAACTGACAGGGAGACTCCGAGACCAGAGAGAAGAGACGGTGGAAGAAGACTGGAAGAAGTTTAAGGAATATTTGAAAAAATACGTTAATATTTAAATCTTTGAATAGCTTTGGAAGTAGATATCGGCTGTAGGGTTAGAAGAGAGTGTATTTTAAAATAGTATTATTTGTAAATGATAAAATGTGAAGTTATTTTAAGTGTGATTAAAAAAAAAAGATGGTTAGAAACTATGATATATGTAAATTGCTAAAGATGAAGTAAAATGAAAATCAGATAGGTGGGACCTGGGGAAGCCCACTTAACAATCTTTAGAAAAATAAGGATATGACAAGAATTTGTTTGTATTGTTTGTTTTTTTGTTTGTGTTCTTTATTTGCGTTATAAAATGAATATAAAGGTAAAGGTACCCCTGTCCGTATGGGCCAGTCGTGACCGACTCTGGGGTTGCGCGCTCATCTTGCTCAAGAGGCCGGGGGCCAGCGCTGTCCGGAGACACTTCCGGGTCACGTGGCCAGCGTGACGAAGCTGCTCTGGCGAGCCAGCACCAGCGCAGCACACGGAAACGCCGTTTACCTTCCTGCCTATAAGTGGTACCTATTTATCTACTTGCACTATAAGGGTGCTTTTGACTGCTAGGTGGGGGCCAGGAAGCTGGACTGATGCACGGTGAGCTCACCCCGCCGGTGGGGATCGAACGCCGACCATGCGATCGGATATATATATATATAGTATATTATATATATATATATATATTATGCAGGTTTTGGTGTCCTCGGGTGTCTTCCCGTGTAAAAGTTGGGGGTGTTTAGGCGGACGTTTCGACGAGGTCTCCACTCTTCATCTTTCAGGCTGGTGCTTTCGGCTTCTGTACTGGAAACAGTAACAAGAAGCCGAAAGTGCTGTTCCAGTAACAAGAAGCGAAAGCACCAGCCTGAAGATTGACGAGTGAAGACCTCGTCGAAAACGTCGCATGACACCCCAACCTTTTTACCGGGAAAGACCACCGAGGACACCAAACCTGCATTCCTGTACCCGTGAAAATCTACGAAAGCAAATATATATATATATATATATATATATATATATATATATATAGATGTTCTTGTGCTCATGCCCGGCTTGCAGGTTTCCCACGGGCATCTGGTTGGCCACTGTGAGAACAGGATGCTGGAATAGATGGGCCCTTGGCCTAGTCCAGCAAGCTCTTCTTATGTTCTTAAGTGGCAACAACAAATGTGAATTCTACCTTTGTACAGGAGGCTTAGTTTCCGCACACACTAACCCCCATTCTCTCCTCCACCCAGGCAAGCAAGAGGCATGATCAGACTTCAAGGACACATCCCAGCCAGGAAAAAACACTCAAGGAAGGTACAAAGCAGGTGTGGGCTGTGGAGAAGCATTGTGGCTTGTGGAGAGTCCCGAGGGGCAGATGGAGTGACCCAGAGGGCCGTATCTGGAGAGGCCTCAGGCCCTGAGTCTTACCTGCATGATTTGTGCCTAGCGTACTCCTGGCTGTCTTTCAACCTCACACAGCCATTGGTGCTAGAGGTCTCTTGAGTTTGGCATGGCTCCTCCGGGTGCTTGTTGTCTGTTGGAAGCGGCAGGCAGCTGAGTGCCTCAGTGCTGGAAAAGAAGGAGGGAGAAGAAGAACTTTGTCAGCGAAACATTCACAGGGCAGGCAGGGCTTCTATTGCAAGCTCCATGGGACAGAGAACTCTCAGGACCAAGAGAGCATGGCCATCTTGCCAACTGTTACTATTTACTTTGGATCTGCCTAACCTGTACTGTTAGGGATCGGTGCCGACAAAGGAAGTGGCGATGGATGCCAGAGGCTCGTCCAGATCAGGTCAAAGACAAGGCAAAGCAGATCAGGACCATGGACACTTCCCAGGTCCTCCTGCTACCTGAGCGTGGGAAGATGCTGCAGCAAAGGGCCATCAGAGATAGCAAAGCCACTGGGAGCTGTCCACGGTCCTGATTTTCTTTGCCTGTGACCCGACCTAGAAGTGTCTGGATTATCCACATCCTTTGAGGCTCTCCAAGCCACGCCACCACTCAGTCCATCTAGCCCAGTGTTCTCCAAACTTGGGTCTTCAGCTGTTTTTGGACTACAACTCCCATCATCTCTAGCTAGCAGGACCAATGGTCAGGGATGATGGGAGTTGTAGTCTAAAAACAGCTGGAGACCCAAGTTTGGGAAACGCTGATCTAGCCCATGTGGTCAGACTCCAACACACGTGAGCACCAGTTAGTATGAATGACCAGGGGTGATGGGATTGAGTCCAGCAACATTTGTAGGGCCAAAGATTTCCCAATGCCTGCACTATCAGGGCTGTGGATATGGTGACTCTCTTGCTACAGATTCCCCCCTTCCTGTCTCCATGAGATTGTTCTGTAAAAACAGTGCTTGAGGTGGTTAAAGCATATTCAAAGCAGTCCAAAAGACACCAGGGTACTTGTGATATACATTCAGAACCCTTTAGTATCACAGAAGGCAGAACAGAGGCATCCCACTTACTGAATAGATCAGTAATAAAGTATTAATTTTTAAAACAAAAACAAATGAGTTTCAATAATAAATAAGAGTAGGGAGTAATAAAGCAGTAGTTGAGGGTACAGTTTTGAAGATTCGTTTTCAGCTTTTCCAGTGACAGGAGTATCTCTCTCTCTGACACACACACACACACACACACACGCAGGCAGACACACACACACACACACACACACACACACACACACACACACACACTGTTACAGCACATCTATTCCCAGAGCTTCCTCCACAGGTGTTACCCCACTCTTCCAGGACAGGAACTTGACCTGAGGCACTTAAGGGAAGCTGCACTCCTTAGAAAGCCATAAAGTTAGCGGAACCTCCAAAAAGGAATCATTTACCTAAAGGTACAGGAGTGCCTGGAAACCACAATAGCATTTTTCCTGCTCACCTATGCATTTATTTACAATGGTACTTCAGGTTACAAACGCTTCAGGTTACAGACTCTGCTAACCCAGAAATAGTACCTCGGGTAAAGAACTTTGCTTCAGGATGAGAACAGAAATCGTGCGGCAGTAGAGGGAGGCCCCATTAGCTAAAGTGGTACCTCAGGTCAAGAACAGTTTCAAGTTAAGAATGGACCTCCAGAACGAATTAAGTTCTTAACCCAAGGTACCACTGTATTTTTAAAGCACCAAGCTGGAGGACAAATGATGTTGAATCCAGGGAGGAGAGATAGCACAGAAGTTGTCGGAGTGCCCTGGTGGTGTCTAAGAATCTATGGCTGCCTGAGATTTTAATTGTAGCACATCCGTTTGCCACATTGCCCCTTCTGGTCCTGTACTGCAGCTTCCAGACCTCTTTCTCTCCCAGAAAAGTTGCGTTTGGCAGCTGGGATGAAAAGCTGCTAAACTAAATCAAGCCATCCGTTAAGAAATGAGGGCTTGGGGGTGGAGGCATTGAGTGGCCAACCCCCCCAGATTGATTGGGGTACTGGGAAGCTGAGACACACTTTCAGATTTGCACAAGCCAGTGGTCTTGTCAGGAAGCATTTAGCAAACAAGCAGTTCCTTTGTGCTGCGATATGGCAACTAATGACAGTCTGGGAGCCCCAGCCATGCATAGCTTTCCTGGAAGCAGGAAAGCAGCCCGAAAAGAAAGCTGGAATAGAGAGGACAGTTGTCAGGGTGACATGCCATGCTGTGAGTCACAGATGTTGGGAGTGGGCTGGGAACAGACATCACCAGGTCTGGAGAATGAAGAGGAGCAGGAAAATTGCAAGTTGGACCTGTGACAAAAAACGTTGCTGAGTGGGGCAAACCCCTGCTCAGGGTTTCCAGCCAGCCATGCCCTTTTCCAGGAGACTCCATTCCATTATTTCCAGGACACTCTATTCCTTTTCCATGCCAATGTTGCTGTGTGGAGTGGTCCTTTTTAGGGTTCCAGCCAGCCAGCCATGCTGTTTTCCTTCTCACCCACCCCAGGGCACTCCATTCTTTTTCCATATGGAGGACCCCTGTTCAGGTTTTCAGTCTGCCAGCCAGGACAGTCTTTGGGCAATTCTCCTCGATTAAGTTTCCTGCAGGGAGTTCTGCGATAATCCTTTCCTTTAAGATTAGAATAATCGTTCATATTAAATTGCAAATGCATTTCCCATCACAAACATGAAAGTCTGCAAAGAGGAAACGCGCGCACGCACTCGCACACAGCCATTTATCTGCCTCCGCAAGAATCCAGCCCAAAGAGATTACTAGTATTTTAGGGCTCAGGGGAGCTTCGGGAATCAATGAAAAAGAATATTGGGCTGAAGCAAAAGCAGACTTTGATGGGATTGGGGAACAATTATTTGCATCAATAATTGCTCTCCACCCCTGGGGGAATAGTTCAGAGCTTGCTCCACAATTGTAGCACTACGCCGTCCTAAGGCCAGCTATGAATTAACCCAGGAAACAAAGATGCTATTTTTTAAAAAAACCTGTAGAGTTAAAAGTACATTGGGGAGGGCTGCCCCTTTCTCCAAGCAGAGATGGTGCACTGCCTGTATTGCATCCAAAGCCAGAGTAACACCACACAGATATTCACCCCGGGGGTGGGGGTGGGGGTGGGACGGAGAAACAAAAACAGAAATAAAAAAACACCAATCGAAATTCACCAAGGAGTGAGCAAGCTTTCACATTGCCCACAGCTCTTTTTCAGACTGACAGATGAACAAAGAAAAAAAAGAGGGGGGAGGGAATATTTTTGCCGCAAAGTAGGGCACCTCAACCTTTGCTGGGGCTTGAACCTGGGACTATCTGCATGTGAAACAGGGGCATTACACAAGTGACCTCATCACTGCTCTTGAAGATGGTACCATCTGAATGGGGTTGCTTCATTCTGCTGCGGGACGGTGCTGGCTCTGAGTGAGTTTGCTGGGCAGTTTCAATTTCTTCTGCTTCTCACCATAAGGCTTATAAGGCGGTTCAGAAAAGGGCTACAAAGAGACTGTTGCAGATGTAGCGGATGTCTTCTGAATGAAGGCCTGTGAAATTGCTGCGGTCCACAAATAGACTGATCAGGATGGAGCGGTCTTTTGTGAAGGAACACCTGCAAAATTGGCACGGGCCGCAGAGAGGACTGAGTCATCCATCCCTATTAGAAAGCCCCGAGGCATTAAGAGGGACTCGAAAGTCACAATTGATTGGCTAGCGCAGCGAGAAGCCACGCTTGGCCCAACGAGAGCCTGCAATATCTTGTTTTCATTCTCTTCCCCCCATTTAATTTACAACCACAAAGTCCCTGTCCTCACAGGCAGAGGAGCAGCAGCGAGGGATATGATTGCCCTTTGGCACACCTTCCCATCACAAAGACACATCAATTGGAAATGCCAGCGGGAGGGACCTCCGAGATGATCTTCCCGGCTTGAGTGACTTGCAGTTAATCAAGGGGAGAATATTGCTCTGCGGCCTGAATGGCAGATTTCAAAATGCAGCCTCTGGAGAATGTGCTGGTTAAGGGGCATGGCGTATTGGAGGGCAGAGGAACATATAATCAAACCCAGTAGCAAGCTGCAGGAGAAGCTCGTGCTTTGATGCATGTGCCTTCCACCGAGCTTCATAAAGGAGAAGAAACCCACGGAATGTGAGTTGTAGGGTGCCCCAGTCTCCTGCCTCACTGGGGGGACAGCCCTCTTTTTGGAGGTATCTTCTCTTGGGTGGACTGGCTGGTCCAAGGCCAGTTTCAAGGTCAAGATGCCTAAGAAAAGTGAGCAGGCACTTCAAGATGCCAGTCCTCAGTGAGTACCTGGGCAGCCAGCTAAGGAAGAAGAAGAGGAGGAGTTTGGATTTGATATCCCGCTTTATCACTACCCGAAGGAGTCTCAAAGCGGCTAACATTCTCCTTCCCCTTCCACCCCCACAACAAACACTCTGTGAAGTGAGTGGGGCTGAGAGACTTCAGAGAAGTGTGACTGGCCCAAGGTCACCCAGCAGCTGCATGTGGAGGAGCGGGGAAGCGAACCCGGTTCACCAGATTACAAGTCTACCGCTCTTAACCACACCACTACACCACACTGGAGGCACACAGTCCACTTGATCACAATCCACATTGTGTTTCTGCTTAGATCAGTGGTTTTCAACCAGTGTGCCGTGGTGCCTTGGGGCGCCTTGAACGATGGTCAGGGGTGCTGTGGGCAACACTGGTCTCTGTCTTTCTTTCTTTCCTTCCCTCCCTCCTCTGATGCCCTCTCCTGTCTCTGCCTCCCAAAGGAATGCACAGCTGTTTGTTGCAGCAGTCCTGGTTACAAGCTTCGTAGGTGAATGGTGCCTCTGGGGCTGGCCAGGGGGTGCTGGCCGCCAGGAGTTGAGGTGACCTCAGAGCAAGCAAGCAAGCAAGTGGGTGAGGGAGCCCAGCCAGCCAGTCCACCAGCCCTAGCTGCTGGGAATGGACAGACAAGTTCCTAGGCCCCTGTGGGGCACCTCTCTTTGGGGCACGGGGGTGGGGCAGGACCAGAAGGAGAGGAGGGAAGGCTGAGGGAACACCCCACAGGGGAGGGTGTTCGAAAAGGGGTGAGAGGCTGTGAGCTCTGCAGGCAAGGGGTGACATAATTGGGCTCCTGAGCCCCACAGATGTGCCACAGAAAGAATGTAGT